AACTTTACTAGAAATGTATTTCTGACACCTTTTGAATTTCCTCTCACTTGAAATCCCCCACTGTGGATTGTTCTATTAAAAACCACTGATCTGCATAAATCTCAGCACTGACTTGTGATTTTTTATTTTTTTTTTCAATTGAAGGCACAAACGGAACCTTTCTTATTGTCTGAAAAAATACTGTGGCGTTAAATCTCGGGGCAATATGTAATTCAGTTGCACTGGTTAGATAATCACACCGGAGACTTTGACAAATGGATGTAATTAAATAACTTTCTCACAGGGAGAATTTGGCAGCAGAATCACTTGATTTAAAGTCTGCGTTGAGGTCTAATACAAAAACTTGTTGAAATATGATATTCCTCCTGCGAGTGTGACATTTTTCTCCTGCTCTGTACAGTCCCCGGCATCTTTTTTTTTTTCATTGTGTCTAAAATGAAACAAATGTGGACGTTCTTTGACTTACTGGATGATGTGAGAAGCTTATTCTCGGAGAAAAGGTTCAAGAAAAGACTTTCAGTATGGGGCTGAGGCAAAAATAAAGAGCAGCAGTGGCCGTGTTAATACCCAGAACCTTGAAGTGAGAGCACAGAGGAAGGGAAGACATGAAAGAGGGAAGGAGGTTAAAAGAAAAAAACTGAAATCAAAGGAAATTCTGTTTATTGAGCGTGGCAGAAAATATTCCCATATTTATTTCTTTCTCTCATTAACTCACTTCCCTTTAGGGGACGGATTGGACAAGAAAGAAGTGACACAAAATGTAATAAAACAAAAACAAAACAACAAAAAAACTGGCATATCTGTGCTCAGCTTGTTTGTAGTCTTCTCAGCTCTTGTTTGAAATATGATGGCAGCCTTAAATAGAAATGGGACAAAAACCATGAGACTGCTTTGCTTGCAAAGATTGAATTTTTGCTTTAACTGGTGTTTTAGATGCGCATAAATAAACTGAAGAGCAGAAGGAGCAGAGGATGAACGCAGACGTGCTCATGTTTCGAGCCCGCTGCTCTTCCTCAGGCATCATCGAACATGAAGGAGCTTGAAACGCGCTGCACCTTTGGATGGCACATCTCAGCAACCCCAATGTTTATCTTCTGCTTACTAGTTTCATTTGCTCGTGCTCATCTAAGGGATCAATAATGAAATATCGGCCCTACGCGAGCAAAGATCAGGCAGTGTTTTTCACTTTAAATTATGCTCTGGGCTGCGTAGGAGGAGGTTGTTTTTCTCAGCCGTGGAAGCCTTAACCCTGAGATTAAGTAACCTTTTCAACGTGGTATCAAAAACTCACTGGAATGTGAAAGGGTCACTGGAGGGTCTTGATTGTTTTGTTTTCTCGGCCCACACTGAGTGTCACAGCGATGGGGAATAAAACATGCACAGGCAAATTTTGAAAGTGAACCGACTTAACTGAATCACCATTGTTGAGAGCCAAGTCAGTAGCTTTTATCGGTGGAGCGTCATGGAAAAACTGCTACGACTCTCATGACCTTAGAAAAAACAACAAGCACTTTGCTGGCTGTTGGTAAATTTGAATCTGTTGCAATATGGATAAAGAGACGTATGAGGGCTGCAACACACACAGTGCATAAATGTAGTATTTATCCTCTTTGGAAGTTTTTTTTTCTTTTATTGCTTTTAAAAATTGAATCATGGTCAATTTAATTTGACAAGAATTTACCTAAATAGATTCTTTGGTGTGAAAATGAGAACTGATTTCTACAATGTCATGCCAATTACTTAAAGACATAAAATGTAATATGGGTAATGCATAAATATTCACCCCCTTTAAAGTCAGTCATCTAATTCAACACAGGTGCAGGCAAATGGAGATCATCTAAGTGAAGGTAATGTGTCTCAAGTGATTGTTGTGTAAAGATGCCTGTATCCGGAAGGCCCAGTCACTGATGAGTCAGCACTGCTGGCTGAACCTTCACCATGAAGACAAAAGAACACTTCAAGGAACTCTATGAAAAGATTATTGAAAAGCACTAGTCAGGGTATGAATACAAGAAAATCTACAAGTCACTGAATTTCCCTTGGGGTGCAATTAAATCCTTCATTCACAAAAGGAAGGAACATGGCACATGCGTAAATCTGCCTCGAGCAGGCCGTAGTGGAAAGAGACCAAGACCACCAAGACACCCATGACTCCTCTGAAAGAGTTACAAGCTTCAGCAGCTGAGATGGAGAGACTGTACATACAGCAACTGCTACCTGTTCTTCACCAGTCAAAGATTTAGAGGAGAGTGCAAAGGGAAAGCCACTGTTGAAAAATGGTTGCAATAAATCTCGATTAGCGTTCACCAGAAGGCATGTAAGAGCCTTTAAAGTCAACTGAAAGAAGGTTTATTGGTCTGATGTAACCAAAATTGAGCTTTTTGGCCATTAGCCTGGATGCAATGTTTTGCAGACACCAAACACTGCACTTCATCACAAACAAATCCTCCCTACTGTGAAGCATGGTGGCGGCAGCATCATGACATGGGGATGCCTCTGAGCAACAGCCCCTTGAAGGCTTGTAAAGGCAGAGGGTAAAGTGACCCCAACATAGGGAAATCCTGGAGGACAACCTGATGCTGTCTGCAAGAGAACTGCAACTTGGGGGAAGCTTTGTTTTCCAGCAAGACAATCAAGCATACTGCCAAAGCAACACAGAAATGCTTCAGAGACAACAAATCAAATGTTCTGGAGTAGTCAGACATAAATCGAACGGAGAATTTGTGGCTAGACTTGAAAAGGGCTGTTCTCTCATTGTAGAATAACCTGACAGAGCGTAAAGAGTTTTGCTAAGAAAAAATAGGTAAAATTGGAGAGTCCAGATGTGCACGGCTGATTGAGACCCATCCACGTATGCTCACTGCTATAACGGTAAAAAGTGCATTTACTAAATAGTAACTCGAAGGGGATGAATACTTATGGCATCACTTATTTCATACTTTATATTGACAGTGAACACAAAACTCTTTTCCAGCTGGCTCTTTTAATTCTAACCTATAATTCGTCTGAGCACATCAGAAGCTCTAACTTTGCGTTCCATGTGTTCACTCAGGTGTCTTGGAATCAGCGGTTTGCTGTTAAGTCCTTCTGCTTCTCCTTTCCGTCTCTCGCTTGTCACCTGACTCGCCTGAGACTCTCCCGCTGATCACCTGCTGCGATGCCTGAACCCCGGCTTGTCACTTTCCTCCTCCTTAAACTGTTCTGCTTGCCCCCTGTGATAATATCGGCCAACTCTCTGAGCAGAATCTGCTTCCTCGGGTGAATTCTTGTCTCCGTCGTCTGCTCACTGTTCCTTCATCTGGAACTCGCTGCGTCCGAAACTGTCAGTCAGCCACCTACCAAGCCATACACCAGCCACAGCCCCTCCTCTCAGGATTCCCTTGCCAGGTTTCTCCTTTCATTACACAGACTGTTTATGATAAATCTCCTTAATCTGCATACCGAGTTCAGTAATGTCGTTAACCATCACACAGGGAGCTTCATCAGACTGGAACCACATTCCTCATGAGGGCCTGTGGTCTCTATTTTTGATGCTACTTATGTAATACACAGACACAAAGTGGAAGCTTTAACCTGAAAATACATAAGCACTTTGTTTCGCCGCAAATGGAGAAATATATGTGACTTATTAACAATAGATGATTAGCGTATGAATAAATGATAACCTATGAGTGAACAACTGAGTTTGTCTTCACTGGAGCTCCAGTTGACACAGGGGGCCGTTTTTATCCTTTTTAACTCAGACTGCAAAACTGAAACGAACATAATCTGGTAACGTGGCAGTAAATAACAAGCTGCTGAGCTATTAACCTTATTTACAAGCTAGTTTTGCACACGATAGCATGAAGGAGCAAAAGACTGAACCTGCTATCGAACTGAAGAAGTCTGACTCAGTGCTGAGCATCAGGTCAGATGAGTGGTGATGTATTCACTGACTGTGTTGGGTACTAAAGTGTATTGCAGTGATGCAGCCACTTAACTTATGGGAAAAAAACAAACTACATAGTCAGTGATTGGGAATCTTTCGACTAAACGAAGTGATTAAATTGGCGAAATGATGGGATTTCTACTCCTATGTCACAGCTCCTGTTCGCTCTTGTATAACTATAAGATGTTTCCTGTAAACAATCTCACATAAACTGAGTGTGCACCACCTGCCCGATGGCAAAAGGGCAAAAAGTAAACAAGCCACAAGTGAAGAATGTTAAGCAGGTTAAGAAATGGATATTTTTTCTGAGGAGTCAGTGGACAGAACCAGACTTTAAAAGGCTCATAAATATTAGACATACCCGTCACGTATAGTCATAAACGTCCAGAAATACCAATGAAACAGCACCACTGAGAGGCTCGTGCTGTTGCTCTTTTCAGATTGACAATAAAACACACGGTCATCTTATTGTTTTCACAAGCCTGAAACCACTCTCACTGCGGGAGGTTCTTGCAAAAACAAAAGGGGTAAAAAAAACAAGGAAAAAAGGGAGATCGTTGCTTATAGTTTGTTGCAACGCAGTGCAACAACATCACTGTACTGTGCTGTCAAATCTAATACAATAATTTGCAAGTAACTAAGAAATACCACTAACTGACAGCTTTCAAGAGTTGTAAAATCATATCTATGGATTTCCCGCTTTGTTCGTCTTCTCACTGATACACTGGAGTGCCAAACACAGACTAATGGAACCCCTTGTGGTGTTTGCCTAGAGGGCCATTATCGGCCTTAATGCAGTTTAAGGTTAGCGGATATTTCTTCGTATCCATTACGACCCATAAGATGAAATCAGGGCAGTTTTTACTCTTTCTGCATGAAATGACTTAATGTCGCTTTAAATAGAAGCTTCAGTTCATTTACGATGCGGCCAAACATTACCATCACTCAGTGGATAACTCTCACTATCATCGCAGGCAATTTAAACCGTCACTATGGATGTACGAGCAAAAAAAACACACACCCCATTGTGTTTGTGTGTCTGAATATAAATGTGCGTGTGCTCAGAGCGTACCGTGCGACTGGTCCTCCATGTGTCCCAGAGTTTCGATCTGCTCCACCAGGTCATTTGAGTTCCACTGACTCATGCCCAGCAGAATGGCGCTCTTCCCCTCCATAACATCTGCTGGGACACACAAGTACGCACAGACACAAAGGGGGAGTAAGGCGGTGCGGCAAAGACAAAATCCCATCTTCTCTTTCTGCATATCAACAATATGGCATTGTTTAGGGCCTGTGCTTCTTTAACCAATTCTTCTCAGCTGTTTCACCTCTTTCACTCCCACGCTATTTTAACTCACCTCCACTAGAGGCCGAACCCTAAAACTCAACCAACACAGTCCTGATTTGTGCCATTTGGCCGTAGTTTTGTTTAAAATTGGCTCGCCAAACAGCTGTTCGTGCCAAGTGAACACACAGCTTAATGTGCAGCGAGCAAACTAAACAACAAAATGCCAAATGACGGCCAACAACAAAGTCTGATGGTTTGTGATGCGGGTTATGAATGGAATATTGTGCTGCCTTTTCAGCAGTTAAATTGGGCTCGAATGACGCTCACATCCTCCTAACATTTCACCCCTTGCTATTTGCACCGATTTGAGATGCTCAGATGGGAAAGTGTGTAACAGAAGAATCGATGGGACTTCATTTTAACGGCAGCGTAGCCAGACGTATCTTTAAAGTGCTGCGTCAGGGCTGGAGAATAGTGCAGCTGTACCTCACTGTCATTCTGCTATAGGAGAGAAAACACTAATTCACCTTTAAGCCTGCCTTATTGCAGACTCAACTTGCCATTTTTAGCATCAAAGTTACTGCTCTGTCGTTGTTGTTTCCTGTAGCTGAGAGAAAGTGGAAGGGAAGGAAAAAGCCGTGTGAAATGCACACCAGAAATGACAGGCTTAACCTAAGTCCACATGTGGTGAGTCAGACTATCTGAAATCCAACATCCTCTAGTTCAAAATGTGCTTGTTGTGCACGTGGCTAGAACACAACCTGAGCTGCATCACACCAAACATGGCGCAGCAAAGTTGGATTGTATTTGAAAGATGTGTTGAAAAATGTGTTGATATCTGTCCAGTATCAGTATTTTTCTAATCACGGACGAGTCTGTGCAATACTAGTACTTCTTTATCAGTATTCCTACTCATTAAAGAGTCCGTGCGATACCATTCATATGTGTGATATTGTTTTTTTCCACTTCCAAAGGAATTCCAATCTGAATACCCACATAAGGAAGAACCAGTACTTGTGTATTTTTTTGTTTGTATTTATTTTTCTACTGATGTTCCTTACATGTTTGCACTTTCCCATTTGCTGCTGTTACATTGCAAACTTCCCCACTGTGGAATTGTTAAGGACTTATTTTATTAATAACAAGGACATTCTTTACCCCACAACGATGCAAACCACTGCTCCTACGTTTTTTTATCAACACTTGCATGATACGCCAGATCTCAAGGCCGAACCTATCAGAGTGAGGGACTTTCAGCAAAATGAACTGCTGAATTGTAGAAAATCTAACCACGTGTGGCACATCCATACTGATAAAGTCTAAACATGTAAATATTTGTGCACAATGCTAAGCTGGCCTTGAGGTTATCTGTCTGTTTCTTTCAGTACAACATCTTTTCAAAGAACGCTGCCAGAGGTATAACCATGGCGGGGATACTGCTGTCGGCAGAAATACCACACTAGCCCAAATATAGGATGTTTTTTTTTCTCTTCTGGAGATTAGGCTTGAAAAGTAGGTCGTCTTATTGTTGAGGACAAGACAATTATGTGTTCATAACATCAGATATTGTTTCTGAATGGAGCGAGCACTAAGCCCACAGGAATGACGCCGGAATGTGCAGCATATACACAATCACTGGGAAGTAAACGGCCGTAAAATGGTGAATACGTTTTTCTGAGCATCACATGCCTCTCAGAAAGATCAGGAATTGATCCACTGGGTACAATAACATTTGTAAAGTCGTAAAAACCCATATTATTATTGCATTTTATTTCCCATTCAAGTGTGCAGGGTGGCGAAAGAAAATCCTCCAGCAGAAGTCTTGCATGCTCTCAGCTGCCTCGAATGCAGAAGGACTCGATTAAGTAGAGTTTTTCTGGTAATTTTGTGCTGTTAATGGCATTCACAGTTCTAGTAGCAGCAGTACTTGTAGACAGCAAGTATAGAAAGTGATACCACCCAGGCCTAGCTGTCAACACGAGTAGGTTGGTCACACCTTTTTTTTGAAGAGAACGCAGATTTTGCCAGATTCACCGTAAATTTTAGGAGCACGAACTTTCACAGTTGCCCAAATTTATGAAAAGATAACAGAAATCTCACAAAACTGTCAGTTTAATTATAACGTACATGCTTGTCTGACTTCTACTTTTTTCTTGCACTGTTCCAGTCATTTAAATAGATGTTTTTAGAAATATTGTCAAAAACAGGAACATCCTGTCTCAGAGTGATGCCGAAAAACAAGCATTTCTTACTTCTAGACATCTGGACTGTCATATGTCCCAATAACTCCTTGAAATAACCCCAGTTGATCCAAATGTAGATGATGTCCTGACAGGAACCAAGAGATCATATTTCTCCCATATTAGCATCTCCTCATGGGCTGCTGGTAAAATCCAGGACAGCATTTAGAATTTTGCTTCTCACGTGCAAAGCTCTAAATAACCAAGCTGTCTTGTATCTTATAGACTTTCTTGTGCCATATTGTGCTGACAAAACACTTTGCTCTCAGACTGCAGGTTTACTTGTGGTTCCAGTGTTCAAGAAAAGATGAATGGTAGACAGAGCCTTCAGGTATCCTCTGCTGTGGAATCAACTCCCAGTTTGGGTTCAGGAGGCAAACACCCTTTGCACTTCAAATATTAGGCTTAAAACGTTCCTGGCTGCCCTGAACCATCTCTTAGTTATGCTTCTATATGCCCAGGCTGCCGGAGAAATGACCCAAACGCAGGTGTGGCAGGCAGGTAACGGAACAAAAAAACAACTTTAATGAAACTCACTGAAAGGGTTAACAGACGCTGGTAAATAAACAAACAGAGCCTCGGGAGTCCATGTAAACAAAATTCATGATTGAAAAAGCAAATCCAGGAAACAGAATCCAGAACAGGGGCCAAACAGATGAAGAAACAAATGGACTGGCAGGCTGGTGAACGAAGGAGATGAGCAGGATTCAAAAAACCAAAGGCACAAACCAGAACGAGATGAGATGAGATGAGGAACGCAAGGAGAACCAGCAGGTGAGCTCAAGGGAAGCAAGTAGGACGAACTGGCAAAAGACAGGAGAAGACACAGAACTACTTACACAGAAACCTTATCATGAATCAGGGCACAGGTGGAACTAATGAGGGTAGGCAGACAATCAGAAAAGGAGGCAAAACACACAAAGAGAAGGTGAGATTTCTACCAGTGACACACAAGGTGAGTAACTTCAAAATAAAACAGGAAGCAACTCAGAAGAAAAACACAGGAGACAAAGGGAAAAAGAAAACACTGAGGAGGGGCTCTAACAACACAAAACTCATAAACGATGACACAATTATAATTCACCGGTGCATTACCCTGACTCTGTGTGTTCTCTTTCCTGCAAGTATCTCTGGTATCGGAGCTTCACGTTTCTGATGTGCAACTGTTGGTCTCACCAGCCTTTCCAGTGTTTACGAAGGTACTTCAAAAAGTTCTCAACCCCACCCTGAAACAAGGGGCGTCACTCACACTCTGGAGCATAACCCTATACTTTAAAGCCTTATGTCACTTTCCACAAAAACTCAAATGCTTGATGCAATCAAAGCAAAAAGGAGAAGAAATGTGACTTTAAACTGTTCCTCTATGAACCTCACTCACCTGAACTACCCTGTCTGACTTCTGTCTGTTTCCCAAACTGAAATCCTACTTGCATGGCCACCATTTTCAAAGTGATGCTGTTAGGGAGTATCTGGAGACTCTAGATGTGACCTACTTCAGCGAAGGGATAGCAATAGCTTGAACATCGGTGGACCAAGTGATTAAAGTTAAAGGCGATTATGCTGAAGAATAATGCAAGATTAATCTTTCTCCTGAGACGATTATTTGTTGAGGACTGTTTGCAATATCCTTGTGTTGTTGATCTGTTTTGTCTCTGTTATCTTTTTCTCTCACACCTTTACCTTCACCCCAACCAGTCGAGGCAGATGGCTGACTGGTTCTACAGGAGGTTTAAAGAGGAGTTTTTTCACCGAAGTGTATGCTTAAAGAGAATCTTTGGGTTTACTTTCTATACTTTGAGTGTCTGCACTGTTCAGGTCCTCGCCTTCCTATGTAAAGCACCCTAAAGTGATTTACGTTGTGAACTGCCCTATGAATCAAACTGAACTGCATTGTTTGTACATTCTTTAACTGTCTTATATCAGAGTTGCTCTTTAAAACATAAACCACCACCCAGTTGTCATAACACATGACAAGCTCTGTTCTGTTGGAGAATATCTAAAGTCAGCCAAAAAGACAAGCGAGACGTGCTGCGTGGTTCAGCATGACCAAAACAGTTGTGTACTCAGCTTGTCATCCAGGACAGTCTGCGATGGGATGAGTCATGCAGCAAGGAGCCCCTACGTGACAGACTTCTCTCCTCTCTCACACTTCTGCCTGGCAGCTCTGACAGACTCTGACGCCGGTCTACACAGCCTGTCCGCTTGGATCATCCAGCGGCCGGTCCACTGGTCACAGTTTGTCTTTCTCTATCTGCTCTGACTCCCTTTTCTTTTGGTGAACTCTCTGCCTCCCTCCCCATGACACGGTACTGAGCTGAATATAATGATGCAGGGACATAACACACACTCTTGCAGATTCAAACATACACAGACAAGCACAATGAAACGGAGAGGAGCGAGAAAGAGACATGCTTTTGATCCGAACAAAGCATTGCAGCATGTAGGGAAGCCAGTGTTTGGACAAAGGGAGAATAAAAAGCAGGCTTTACATTACATTCCTTGAATTGCATCTTTCTGAATCATCTCCTGGAGAGGGGAGCTGAGCAGTAATGCCCACTGCCAAAAGTAGGAGCTCCTCTGAGCAGCAAAATGTGTTTGAACCGAATAAAAACCTGCTTATGTTAAAAAATTTGCAGTGCACAGAAATCAGGTGCA